ATTGCGGCGGTTCAGAATTCAAATATCCGGGGACTGTCGCTAAAAGTTAATGCTCTGTCGTGTTGGAAATATGCCCTAAACCAAACCCAACCCTAAATCTACCCGATAGTGTTAACAACTGCAGAACTGATATAAAAATGCATTTGTTGATGCAACCGTGCCATTTGAACTTCCTTATATGCAGATTTGAACTGTTTTGTTGAACCGTAGTTACACGGGATTCGAACCGGAGCTCCTCACCTCTCAAGTACGTCTCCGTACTCCATGAGCTACCGAACAAACCTACTGTGTATGAAAACCCATAGATATGAAACTGGATATGTGTGATGCTAACATTCAAAAGCATCAGTTTTCAAATCTCCCAGCATATTAAAATTGTTTTGAAGTAATTGTGTGAAAATTACGCTTTATTATTCAAAACTCTATAAATTTGTGTGAAAAGGAATAAAAGGTGTCAGAGTTTTACTGCCTCTAGTGTTAATTTATTTTGGAAAATGCAGTGATATGTACTTATTGGTACGTATTCCACGTCTCGCAAAAAAGTGCCCCCAGGTACGTTTTTGCCATCAGACCAGATAGAGTTTTTGCCATGCTTAGAGTTGGTCTCCATCAGCAATGTGCAAATTTGCCAAACTGAGCATAATCTTACTGTACTAAACACCCCAGCAGTACAGGTTTAAGAGAAATGTATGCCGGAATACAGAATACTGCAATAGTAGATATAACTGGTTGTTTTTAAATATTAATGTAACTTAAAAAAAAAATGCTGATGGAATAGCATAGTCACCTGTTATCAGTAAATTGGTATTTTTCCCATCCACAACTGTTACTAGATACACCTCTGATTGACTGATTTGACTTCACTCTGGTTTGGCGTCATTTCAATAATGCATCACCAAATCAAAGTCAGACGCATACCGAGACAGACAGATCTTCAAAGCGTTTATCTGATGGAGTCTACATATTAAAAGGAGGAAAGATTTGTATGTGTCAACAAGCAAATAGCTGGCAAAAAAACTGCAGTTTAAAAGTCTGGGGTCGTGAGATTTTTGAAAGAAGTCTCTCATGCTCACCAAGGCTGCATTCATTTGTTCAAATATATAGTAAAAACAGTAATATTATGAAATATTATTACAATTCAAAACAACTGTGTTCTATTTAAATATATATTTAATGTAATTTATACCAGTGATGCAAAGCTGAATTTTCAGCAGCCATTAGTTCAGAGTCAAATGATCCTTCAGAAATCACTCTAATATGCTGATTTGCTGCTCAAGAAACATTTATGATTATTATCACGATTAAAACTGCTGTGCTGCTTAAAATTTATTTTTTGACACATTTTCTTTGATGAATAGTAATTTTACAGAACAGAATTTATTTGAATGATACTTTTTAAATAAATAAACAGACAATGTCACTTTTGATCAATTTAATGAATAATGAATAAAAAAAATAAAAAAAACCTTATTGACCCCAAGATAGTGTTAGCTGCAGTGACTGTGAGTGGAGCTGTCCATGGTGCTGATCATCTACACCAGTGATCTTCACTATTTTTTTCACGAGAGCCGCACTTATAGGACAAAGTTAATAGGAGAGCCACTTTTACTGCAAAGTATGAAAAGTTACATCCAGTCATAAATAGCATGTCTCCTTCTCTATCTGTCATCCCTGAACATACAATATGCAATGCAATACAAAGGGGATTATTTTTAAAAGTTACTTAAAGTTATTTTTGAAAGTTATTTATTTAAAGCTATTTGCTTCTACATTAGCCCATCATGTATCAAACCATAAGAGCACATTCGGTGTTAAGAGCTGGAAAGATTGCCCTACAGATACCAGTCAATATTGCGATTTGATTTAAGTGTAATGACCTACTTTTGATTTATTCACCCAAGCTTTGACAGATTCCGTGACATTCCACGTTATACAGTAAATTCTGTTTTTATGACTGGATTCCACAATTCCGTCTGCGTTTTCCCCATCGCAGAAATCACAGGGCCATAATTAAAATGTGTTCTATTGTCTTTTGTCGCGTCGCACCACAACGCTCGCGTCCAGTCTAGACACGGTGTGAGTTTTTTTAATGGCTCAGTTTTAGCCCTGCTTGTTTTTAATGTTTTTATTAAATATCTTTATTGATCATATCATCATTATTTACTGCCATCTGCCATGCGAGCCACACATTAAAGCTTGGCGAGCCGCGCAATGAGTAACACTGATCTACACTATGCAAGTCTGGTCAGACGTCAATGGTTTTAGTGCAATTACAGATTTCAGGAAAGTTTTTCAAATGGGTAGGAGAAAAATTGTACAACAAGAAAATCAATTTTAAAGGTACTTGTGCATTCCAGAGCCTCTGGCTATATATATTTTTTTTTTTTTGAGCATAGAGCTTTAAACTGTCCAGGTGTCAAACAGAAGTTGATTTATCCTGGCAAAAACCAGAATGCGTAAGCAAATTCCATATCAAAAGATGACTAGTAGGATTGTTATTCGTCAAAATGTTGTAAAGCAAGAGAGCTTGTTCAAATTATTAAGCCTCAGTAACAGTAATAGTGGGGTCTTAACACAAATGAGTGCTAATCTTAAAGCAAGTTTTGTTAAATTTTCATCACAATGTATCCCTCTTTTCTCATAAGAGTGTATCCACAGTGAAGCAGAACAAATTAACTCCTACATAAGAAAGCTCAATACTAGGCTCGCAAACATGGGCAAACGTCTCCGTGTGTCCATTAGGTGTGTTTCTGGAGCATTTGCCATTACGTTCTTGCTGTGCAGTGTAAAATTGAAATGTGAACACAAACCTACAATCGGCTCCATCAAATTAAAGCAAGCCACAAACTGAGTCTCACAATCCAACAGTATGTTCCCCATCCGCACACTCTCCATTTTCCAGCATTCCTGTCAGCATGACCGCACTGCATTTCCCAGAAGTCAGCAGGTAGCGAGACCCACGGCGGGCCACGACTCCGAGCGCCCCAATCCAAACTACTGGAGCAGAATTATGTGTCGTCCACTAACACACACTTCCAGCAGCGCTAATGGAGTATAGGTCAGCAGGTGTGTGAGAACACAGGAAGCGTGAGAATGGAGAAAAATAACAGCGCAGAGACGGACACAGGAGATTCGCTCTCATTCACGCCTGAGTGAAGCAACAGATTAAGTAGCAGCACACAGGGCACAAAAGCCAAAGAAAGAAGCACCTTTTTCTTTCTTCTTCCCCCAGAAAATAAATACATCTGAGACGGCGAACGCTGGGACCGAGAGATGGAGTGATATCTGCACAAAAGGTCAGCCACAGGAAGTGGACGTGGAGAAAGAACAAGTCAAATGGAAGACAAAGTGTCAGTGGATAATTGTCATCCATGATGGCTGTTCAGATCAAAAGTAAGTACCCCACGACTCTGACAGGAGAAAATGGCCACCTTTGTTCCTCGTTCCAACCTGGTCATACGCCTCCCTCTAGACTGGAAAAGGTCAGTGAATGTGTGTTTCTGTGTGTGTAAAGCAACTGAACTTACAGCAGGGGTAGTTTAACAGCACTATATCGTCCAGGCCGATGTAACCCTTCCGCTCCGTTGAGACTGTGGCTTCAAAAACGATCTGCAAGGAAAGAGATGAAGATGTGAGACAGAAAAAAGAACAACAGACAGCCAGGGGAGAAAACACAGACACACAATATTTTTACAGTTTGCAGTGTTATAGAAATTGTACCTAAAAAAAATTGTAATGTGAACGAGGCGTGATGTGAATGTATTTATAATCGGTTCCGCTTAGCCCGCTCCAAGCAAGGCTTGAACCAGTGACAGCCGGCATGGGAAGTCGGCATGCTAACAAGGGCACAGTCTCTAACATGCCCCTTGAAGGCAGGGAGCTTGCTAGCTGGCCTCCATTACACTCAGCCCCATAAACCTCACTCTGATCCGGGTCACGGCACCAACATAACTGCATATACTTGCACCACTCCAAGGGATTCGAACCTGATGTTCTGTTAAGGTGCGTCACATTTACCGTTGCAAGGCAAAATTTCATGAGCAAAATCCAATAATTTCAATAGGAATAAACATGATCTAGAGTTTCACAAGAGGGTGAAAAAGGTCCCCATGCAGATTTCTCACATGTTCAAGTGTCCAAAAGAAAGATGCTTGGTTTGAAAGTTACTTCTATGTTTCATATAATATAATACTGAAAATTGTCAATGGACCTCTTTTGCCCACAAAATTTTGCCAAATTTCGCTAAAGTGATTACATAAAATTATTATTATATGTGAATAACAAAAAAAAAATTAAAATAAATAAATACATTTTGTTGCAGTATGGTAACATTTTAGTCACAGATATTTATTTATTTGTTTGTTTGTGCATGTATGTGTCACGAATGCGGTCTATGAACTTCCATTCACTCACCACCAGAGGTCACCCGCTCACTACATGGACTCTCACACTACACAGACTGTTACACTATGCCCTGGACTACATTTCCCATCATCCATTGCACTGATTGCACACAGCTGTAACCAATCACACGCGCACCTGAAAGCCATTACACACACTATATAACACCTACCCAGATCCTGCTCTAGTCGCCGAGTATTTTTCTGCATTTATCACTCTCCTAGTGTTATCTGCTTTACCAAGCCATTCCGTGTTTCCTGAGTTAGTCTTGTTCATAGTCTGTTTACCTGTGTTTTGATCTTAGCCTGTTTTCTCCTCTTGTCTGATC